CCCCCCCCCCCGTCCCTGATAAATAAGATGCACAATTACAGATTGTCTAAAGGAATGTCAGGATTGAGGCAGGAAGAGACCTGGCTAGTGTGTTTATTTAATCAAGTTTAGCCTAATTACTGTTTAGTCACCTTGGGCAAGACAGATCCCAAATCAGTGCATCTAATGCACAGTGTTTGCACAACGACTTGAGATTTGGGCTTCATATTTTGTGTGTGTATGTGTAAAAATCTCTATATTACATATGATATTGTATTATAATAAAACATTTTCATACTGTATAAGATTATATTTCAATTGAGCTCTTTCTGTAGCTTGCTCTGCCCAGTTTCAGAAGCTCTTGTGGAAAATAGTGCATCTTTCTGAAACCACCCAGATTCGAAGTAGATTTTTTATCTTCCCATTTTTATAGGTCCAACTATCCCAAACACACCCTCCAAACTTGGTGAAATATATCTAGCCATTTCCACAAGACATGATGACAGGAATGCAGTTTTTATTCACTAGGAGTTATTTGATTCTTAGAAGATTCTGCGTACTTTATGCTGGAGACCACAAGCTGAAAGAGAAGTAGCAGTAATGTGGGGGCTTTGTGTAATGATGAAGGGTGCAGGCCCTGGAATCAAAATGTAGGCTCAGCAAGATGATCCACGGGAAGCACTGAGAACAGTGCCTGGCAAGGACCTTGCTGGCCATGGTCACACTGAGGGATGAGGGACTAAGCAGATTTTGGAGGGTGTCCCGGCCCCGATTTTCAAGAATGGTATCAGTGAGAATGGGCCACTCACTATTGGATATTTTGTGGAAAAAAACTAAAACCAAGACCCCCACAATGTCTTAGTCTTCTATTGGCACTGTGACACCTTCCTACAAAGTTAGTGGCCGCAACACCATGAATTTATTGTCTTATCGTTCTAAGGGTCATAAATTCAAAATGGTACCCAGAACTGTTTGTGCCTTCTCTCCTTCCTGATTTCCTTCTTCCTTCCCTCTTTTCTCCCTCCCTCCTTCCTCCTGGAGGCCCCAGGGATATCTGTTCTCTTCCTTTTCTGTCTTCTGGAGGCAGCCAAATTCCTTGCTCACTGGACTTGCATCCATCTGACTTCTGCTTCTGTCCTCAGGTCTCATTCTCCGACGCTGATCCTCCTGACTCCTTCATCTTATGAAAGCCCTCCAATTCCACTAAAGTCACCTGGATGATCCAGGATAATCTCCACATCCAGAACCCTTAATTTAATCACATTTGCAAAGTCCCTACTGCCAGGTAAGAGGAGGTAGTCATGGACTGAAGATGGGGAGCAGGGGTCCTGGGGATGCAGTTGCTCACCTGGCATGCCTAGTGTCCACAGATGGGTACTGATGAGGGTGTGGCTCCAGGAGGGCTTGATTGATGTGCCTCTGTTCTGCATTTGGTTCAGACCTTCCGGATGGATGATATCAGTGAAGCAAATGGCACTTTTGCCATCACCTTACTCAAAATGTTGGGTGAAAAGGACAAATCACGGAATGTATTCTTCTCCCCTCTGAGCATCTCCTCTGCCCTGGGCATGGTCTACCTGGGGGCAAAAGGAAACACCTCAGTCCAGATGTCCCAGGTATGCATGCCTGCTGGAAAAAAGCAAAATAACAAGACAAGGAAGACAGGGTTCTTTTTTTTTTTTTCCCCCCTCATACAACTGATCTTTCTTACTCTCACTCCAGCTGGTGGAAGCCAGGGTAGCCAGTAGGCGGGGGAGAGTCCTGGGGCTGTGCCTACTGGGGCAGACAGGGGAGAAAACTGAATGGAGTAGGATGGGTCTTGTCCTCTGATGTTTATGGGAGAAATCAAGCTATAAAGTTATGTTCTTCAAATAAAGGGATCAAATATTCTAGTGAAATCACATCTTTGATAAATAAGGTTAACTATAACTGTGTCTCACAAAGGAAAAAAATTCAACCTTGTTATATTTAAAACTTTTGATAACATTATGTTTTAAATAGAAGTACAGCTGTATAAATGGGCTTCTTATTAAATGGATTATTTGTAGTGTATGCTTATGCAGAGCAGAAGAAAAATGTAACATAAATATGGATTTAGATCTTTTGGGGTTATTTATAAGGAAGGCATAATCTGATTGACCCTAAATGGCATGGACACCCTAATCTATAAACAAGGTGGTGGCTAATACTTAAGGGACATTTTCCCACCATGTGGTGAAAACATTCCAGAAAATTGTCACATGGATGTCCCTTTGCCACTCACATCAGAGGTGTATGACAGTCTCTTGCAGTTGAGATCCCAGCTGAGATCCAACAGTGGTTGTTTCAACTCTCTGAGGGAGGCTCTGAACTGAGGTGACTGGGAGATACAGGAAAACCCTTGCTTATCACTGTGACTTGACTTGTAAATCAATCTGATCTGGAGAACTTCTGTAAAATTGCAGAGGAAACATTTTTTGTTTTTATTTGTACTCTTATTTTGCAATCGCTGGGTCATATTAGATTCACCCCAGCTACTTATTTTTTATGTTCTACCTCCTTCCTGGGTTAATGCATGCTTCTTTCCTGGCATGGATAAATCTGCTATACCAGTGGCTCTCACCCAGGTGGGGATTTTGCCTCCCTAGGGACACTTGGTGAGGTCTGAAGAGTTTTAGTTTTCTTAGTGTAGAGATGCTACCGCCCTCTAGTGGTCGGAAGCCAGAAATGTTGCAAAACATGCTACAAAGCACAGGGGTAGCTACTACCAAGAGTTATCAGGCTCCAAATGTCAATAGTGCCAAGTTGAAGCCCCTGCACAATTAAAGCAATTAAGAAAGAGACCTGTAAGACGTTCAGTCCAGAATTCTGCTTGGAAATATCTCTTTGGGGCAGTATACTGCCATGTTAAATATACTTTCTTTCTACTCCCAGGCTCTCTGTTTGAACAGAGATGGAGATGTTCACCAAGGTTTCCAGTCACTTCTCACTCATGTCAACAAACCTGACACTCAGTATGTGCTCAGAACTGCCAGCCGACTCTTTGGAGAAAAAACGTGTGATTTTCTTTCGGTAAGTAGTATTCACACATTGATGAAAGCAAACTGAAAATAAGAAACTACAGAAGACCAGAGAATGAAGAACTCTACCACCTCAAAAGTGTGCTTAGAATTACATGTCTGCAGTTATAATTCTGAATTTTACTTTATGCCACTACGCATAATCCACAATGCTTCTGGATTATGTCTTTTTAAATTAGTTCTGATATATCTCTCCCTGAAGCCAGAGTCAGTACTTCCATCCTCCTACACCCAGATGTTTTCTCCCCCTTCCCCATCTCTGAGAGACAGCATCATGTGCTGGACAAAGCTCCTCTGCAGTGAGTTCCACCTATGTTCATTGAGCTGATTTCTGCTGAGGTGGCCTCTCAAGGTCTCTTAAACTGGCTCCCTTCTCAATCACCACTGGCGATGCTTAGGTTTGGATTTACTGTATCTTTCATGTTACCATCCACTCCTCCTGACTGGCCTTGCAAGTCTTTCCAGGCCCTTTTGATTGTCTCATAAATCTACTTTCTTTCTAAAGTGAAAATCTATTCACACTTCAGCATTTGATTCCAGAGTTCCCTGGTCTACTCTGAGCCCGACATAACACAATAAGTGAGCTCCAAAAAATTATGCCACAGAATATGCAAAGTGAGGCTGCCTTGAGATTAATGAACAATCAGGGCAAGTGTGGCCATCTGATTGGCACAGAGTTCCAAGGATTCTTATCCAACATTCAGATATACCTTGGTTCTGGCTGCCATCTGATGGTGTCATGCAGAAGTTGTCTGCTCTGGACTCACCTATCACTGGAGGTGATTCTGGATCTCAGAAATCTTCTGGTGAACCATCATTTATTTTTGAACATCCGTATGGTCTTTGAATATTGGGGACATAGGGAACCAGTGTTCACCTTTTTCAATTGCTTGGCTCCTAAAATATTTGCGATGCTTAGAAGATGGGAGCTAGATGCTATATCTAAAAACAGATATTTGTCGGGAGAGTGATCTGGGATTTAATGTACTAGATACAAGCCTTTCCTGATTTGACTCCAGCTTATGTTTAAATTCCCTGAAATGCACAAACATACAGACACAGTCACATGCACGTTTATGTACACACATGCATGCACATATTCACACTCACTTGCTCATGTGCACACACACTAATCCAAAACTAGCACACTCCTCTCCCAGAGGACTTTCCTTGCTCCATATTCTCCCAATCAACCATAATGTCCTAGATCTAAAATGCTTTTTCATTATTTGTCCAATTGTAGATCTGATTTCTTGACAACTTAGTTCCTGTCAATCATTCAACAAATATTTCAAACACTGGTTGGTACTGGCAATGTGGAAATATAGAGTTGGACTGCCTACTGGGGTAAACAGAAAATCAAAGTCAATGCAGAGTATTTGACAGGGATGTTCCTGGGCTGTTTGGTGCAAGGGTGGTGACAGTCTTCACATCTTGTAAATGTCTGTGTTTGGACTCTCTCTTATCAGGCAGTGGGCCATCTCATCAGACACCAAGTCTCCACCTGGTGTCCAACACCTAGCAGAAAGCTAGGCACAGAGTAGGTGGTCCACACATTTATGGTAATTTCATGAACACATCTTAAAATACAGCATGACCTCTGGAAGCATGTATGATACAAACACGTTAAGAGGGAAAAGAAATTTCTTTCACAGTTGTGGGCACCGTTGTTGAATCAGGTCAAACTCAACATTGTGTGTTTGTAGACCTTCAAGGAATCCTGTCAGAAGTTCTATCAGGCAGAGCTGGAGGAGCTGTCCTTTGCTCAAGATACTGAAGAATGCAGGAAGCACATCAATGACTGGGTGTCAGAGAAGACTGAAGGTAGGAGGCTTTAATGTAGGTGGACCTGGAGGTACCGTGCCAGGGGAGGCGGGATGGAACCTCCAGGGTGCTACCGCCATGACCCAGTTACTAGAGGCTTCTTTGTGTGCTTTCTGGGTTTTCAGGCCAATGATGCATTTCTGTTGTTTCTCTTGGGCTTACCACATTACAAATTAGGGTTAACAAAGTGAAATAAACTTCATGTTGGGATTTCAGACTCCATGCTCCACATTGTTCTGGAAAATCCCCAATAAATGCTTCTTTGGGGGGCCTGCTTATCTTCTCCCAGGGAGACCCTGGCCATGAGCTGATGCAGATGATATTCAGTTAGATTGCAGCCTAGAGACATCAGTTCCCGGTGTCACATGACCTCCCTGTGGTACCTGAACTAGTTTTTTTTTTTTTTCCTTAAAATATACACTTATATAGTTTATTAAACTGAATAATAATATATAACACATACAATTATACCCAATTATACTTTATTATAATAACAAATAACTATGAATTTGTCCCCTTCCTTAAGTGACACATCATTTAACTTGAATAAAAATGGACAATAATGAATAGGAATTTCTTAAAAGAACAGAGGTATGGAAGTAAAAATTGTTATGGAAAACAAGAAAAGTCCCATATCCAGAATAGGTAGGCTCTATTTTATTAATTCTTTGAAATTGTTGAGACTTGACTTTTAGCCTAAGCAGTTTTATAAACAATCACTTTTATCAATGTTTTCAGGATGAATGTACCACTTTTAGTTTACAGCTTTTTGATTGTGTCACTCTTAATTTTGGCATCTTTGGGGCAGGTTAAAATCTCCAACTATGATTGTGTACTTTTCAATTTTTCTCTGTAAGTCTATGAATTTTTACCTTATAGATTTTGAAGTAATCCTATTAGGCAAATATAACTTCTAACCTGTAGCTACTTTCTTTTCATTTTTGAAGTTATTCATTTTATCCATGATGTCTATTGTTTACAAAAATTATTATTATTAACTTTTATTTGGTATTTGCTTGATAGATTTTCTCCATCAACTTGCTGGAGGGGCTGGTGGATCCCCTCTGTTATTGGGACAACTCAACTTGGCTCCCTCTATTCCATCCCCCAGTTCCATCCCCCAGTTCCTCTGTCCCATTCACTCCTCTGAGATGGCCTGACCTCTACCACCCACAGGTGTATATTCCCCATCCTTTGGGAGATTTGAAGGTTGGCTCAGAGCAGTGGTTCTCGCTCCAGGAGATGAGATGGTTAAGACATTTTCAGTTGTCACAATCGCTGAAAATACTGCCGGTTCAACATTCTATGATGCACAGGACAAAGACATATCCTGCCCAGGATGGCAGTAATGATGCATTATGTCAATAATGATGCTGAGATATTACCATGCTAGGGTCAGTCAAGAGCCCACAGTGAAAATGAAAACTCCGGTTATTTTCTCAGCTCACCCACTGGCCACTAGTGTGAACTTGGCACAAAACAGGGCACATGCTCTGATCCTGAATTTCTGTATCTAGAAACTGAGGGCAAAAACCAAAGTTACAAATACACACGTCAAGATGGTTCTTTAGGGGTAACTGCTGCACTGGGTGTGAAAGACAGACCTGGCCTGGCTCCTCACCAGCCCTGGGCTTCGTATGTCCAGGGGTTGAAGAAGAGTGTGTATGATCCCCCAAATCACTAGAAACTTTTCTTGTATTCTTCACAGGCAAGATTTCAGAGTTGCTGGGTCCTGGGACAGTCGATTCACTGACTAAGTTGGTCCTTGTGAATGCCATGTACTTCAAGGGAAAGTGGAATGAGCAATTTGACAGGAAGTACACAAGAGGGATGCCCTTTAAAACCAACCAGGTAGGGACATATTTTCCGATGTACTGCTACTTCTTTAAAGCATATGATGAATGGAAAACTGAATAATTTATGTCATGCCATCTTGGTTCTTAATCTATTTCAGAATGAATTTAATACCCCCTCCCATATATCTTTAATTGGACTGGGAGAAAAACTAAAATAATTGTATTGAAAGTTCTGTTTTTACATACATACTGACACTGTCTATATTTACTTATGATACCTTTCTGCAATGTCAGTGGCAGTGATCTCTATTTATTGCCTTGGAATTCTTGACCATACAGTTCTGAACAAAAGAAAAAAGTCTCAGCTGATATTAAAGTTAACTTTGAAAACAATTTTTTTGCCTTTCCCTTTAAATATGGTAATGGCTAAGGTCAATACTTGTTAGCTAGGAATCTGACCTTCATTAAATTGACCTCCTGATAACAGCATATTGCCCAAAGATATGAAAGTAAGCATATATTTAAAGCAAGCTTTAAAAATGCCTGACCTTATACATCTTGTCAAGTTCCCCTCCCCAAGAAAACCAAAGCCATAAAGTAAATTATGTAACTGGGCAACTTTTAGAGTAAAAATATAATTCCCTTTGGCCTATTCATCTTTTCTAGCCAGATCCTTCAGCCCCATAGCTGAATATTAGTTCATGCTCCTCTTAACTTGGAGAAATAATTTTTAATTATAAGGTCCATGGGAGTGCTTCTCTATGGAACTTCTCAAAAGAGCAAACACAATTTCTTCCAAAAATAATGTACTCTTTTATGTCCTTCTGCATTCATCAAACTGTTCTCTCTCACCTGGTAATAATACTTGCTTGGGGGAACAATAGCCTGTTCTGCTCAACACTGAGATACACTAATGGAGATTTGACTTCTAACAGCATAAATGCATGGGAATAATAATTATCTTATACTTCTCTAGAGTTCTGTGAGTTAAATATATATTATTTTGATGAATTGTGCTTATTTTTAAGTATCTAACTTTTAATTTCATGTTTTTGCTAGGAGCAGAAAACAGTGCAGATGATGTTTAAACAAGCCAGATTTAATTTGGGGTACGTGGAGGACGTGCACACCCAGGTCCTGGAACTGCCCTATGCAGAGGAGGAGCTGAGCATGATCATTCTGCTTCCCGATGACAGCACTGACCTTGCCACGGTGAGCCCTGGGCAGCCAGTCTGTGGATTCCAGATGAGTCCATTTCTTCAAGTCCATCTGCCAGATGGCATTTCAAGTTCCAGTTATGGATTATTACAAGTGGTGCTGGGGAACACAGATGCATGTCTTTTGGTGAATGTGTATACTCATTTCTTTTGAGTATATGTCTAGGAGTGGACGAGTATTGATGAAGCTACAATAGCATTCTTTATTCTAAAGGGCAGGATTGGAACCCTGAGAACCCAGTAACTCTTGGACGAAAGTCCTGGAAGAAGGGTAGGGATTGGACTGAGCAGTGTTTCTCAAATGTTAATGGGCATATGAACCTTCTGGGGATCTTGTTCAAATGCAGATGTTGACCCAGTGGACTGTGCTTTGAGACTGCTGTTCTTGCAAGGTTCCAGGTGGAGCAGATGCTACTGATTAACAGACCACACGCTGAATAGGAAGGGTCTAAAGTGTGGGTGAGGGATTTACCTTAGATAGGAGGAGAGAAGAATTTTCTCATGATAGAACAGAAACAGTCCAGGAAAAGAGAAGTAAACTGGGAAGGTAAGAGGTGCAGGATCCATTGTGTGTTGGTAAAATATCTCCCTGAGAGCTGGGAGTGGCCCTTGTTTTTAGTTTGCTGAGTCCCATGGAGTCAATATTTCCATTCTGGCTGATAAGATCCAGTTCAGCATACCAGTGAACAGGAACGTGAGGGAGGGGCCACTGGATTTCCTCAACTTCTCTGTGGAATCAGAAAGGTATAGGCATTAGTCAAGAATGGATCTGTCATGGCCACCCCAAGGAGAAAGTTAGGAGAGCTTAGGAATAGAGCCAGAGTCAGAACCACTGTCCCTGGAAAGGGACACTCAGCTGGGCACCATTTGGTAAAGGAATGGGAGGTGCAAATGGAAGCCAATGTCCTTCCTCCTTCCTTCCCTCCTTCCTCATGGATCAACACAATCAGTGATGAGTCTTGGAGGATTTGAAGCTGACTGATTATATGAATATGAATATGAATATAATTAATTGGTCATGTTTTTTCTAAAATGTCAGAAAATTTTTTAATATTTAAAATGAATTTAGTGAAGATTGTTTCTATTAATACTTCCTGTTTCTCTAAGGTGTTTTCTAGCTCTTCAACTCTTATATCCGTAAGACAGGGAAAAGATAGGATTTTGAGGGAACGCTTAGTATTTTTATAGCCAGAAAAACATCTGAAGATAGTGTTGGACAAGAACTCACCATTTAGCTCCATGTCATGGGGAGAGGGGTAATATGTGGGTGGTGGCCACAGGCTGTGTTCCTCTAGAGTTTAAGATTTGACCCTTTGCTTTTTCAGGTGGAAGAAGCGCTTACATATGAGAAGTTCAGAGCCTGGACAGATCCAGAAAACATGAAAAAAAGTAAAGTTCAAGTTTTCCTTCCCAGATTAAAGCTGGAGGAGAGCTATGACTTGGAGTCTTTCCTTCGCGCTTTAGGAATGACTGACGCATTTGAGGAAACCAAGGCCGACTTCTCTGGAATGTCAAATAGGAAGAACATACCTGTGTCCAAGGTTGCCCACAAGTGCTTTGTGGAGGTCAACGAGGAAGGCACCGAGGCAGCAGCAGCCACCGCGGTGGTCAGAAATGCCCGGAGTGTGAGAATAGAGCCAAGATTCTGTGCAGACCACCCCTTCCTTTTCTTTATCAAGCACCATGAAACCAAGAGCATCTTGTTCTGTGGCAGGTTTTCTTCTCCGTAAAAAGGCGCAATTTCTGTACCTGCCCTCCTTTCCCCTCTGCCTGCTTTGCCTGAGTTAAAATTCCACCTGGCCACATTGGTGCAGTGGCTTGAATGCTGAAATAAAGTGTGTGTGCACCTGGTAGTTTGCAAACATCTTTGTGGAAGTCACCAGTGCCGTGCAGAGGGCAGAGGGTGGATCACGGAGGCCTCAGTGTGTGAAATTGGGCTGGGAACACTTGATTTGCATGATTGGGGTAACTTTTGCTCTGTCTGCCCTCTCCTGATGTCCTTGTCCACTGTTTGTGAGCATCTCGGGGACTCGTGATCCAGCCCTCAGTGTGCTCTTCCATCCTGCCATGACCACCACTGTGCCCACCACCACGGCCAGGCTAACCAGGGGACCCCAGGACACAGGCCCACTACACACAAAGCCATGGGTGACGCCTACAGAGTCAACCCTGGAGCCTCTCAGAGTCTCACTAACAGCTGAGATTGTGTCTGTCCCCCAGCAGAGTCACATAGTGTCTCACAGGGACTCATGAAAACAGCTCTTTGGGCACTTATTTGCACAAGCCACAGATACGAGTACAGGGGCTCAGCAGTAGCATCAGGACTGGGCTGGGAGGCACGTCTCCTAAAAGTGCCCTGTGTTGTTCTCTTTCACTTCCCTCGGACTCATAATCCAAGTGTCAGAGGGACCTTCAAACCAGACAACTCTTAGAAGCCATCATACCTTTGATGAATCGTGCATGCTCAGACGTGAACCACACACTTCGGTTCAAGAAGGAACCTCTGACCATAAAGAATTTGTATTGTGACAACTCTGGAAATTACAGGGAAGCATACCAAAAAACTTAAGTCCTACTACTCAGCAGTCACTGTTGTTAATGATACACATTGTTCCCTATTCTATGAAGGCAAATTTTTTTTTGTGTGTGCACATGCACGTGCGTGGGTGTGTGTGTATGTTACTAAAGATTGAACCCAGGGATGCTGTACCACAGAGCTACATACTCAGACCTTTTTTGTTTTGAAGTAGCATCTCACTAAGCTTCCCAGGCTGGCCTTGAACTTGCGATCTTCTGCAGCAGCCTCCCAAGTAACTGGAATTATAGCCCTTCACTACTGTGCCTGGCACAAATATAACCTTATAATTTTTGCACAAGTTAATCATAATTTCTGTAGCTTATTTCTACTCTTATTAGGAGCCTTTCTCAAGATAAGACTCTATCCATGTCATCAATTTGATGTGTGTAATATTCTGCTATATGGCTATATTTTTATAAATGAATTTACTTAGACAATTTGGGTAGCTTGACTTATTTATGTTATATATGCACTGTTATGAATATCGTTAATATTTACTCACATCCTTAATTAATTTTCAAAGAAGCATTCCTAAGAATGGTTCTGTCAAGATAAAAATTGGGTACATTTTGAGACTTCCAAATTGGTCTCCAAAAATTTATGCTGATTTACACCTCCTGATGTTACCACTTACCCTAGCATTAACTGCTGCCTGCCTTATTATTAATTTTTATGAGTGGGACTATTAACAGTGGTTATTCCTGGCTACTTCTGATTCACAGTCACAGTTACATGAACCATTTATATTACAGTTCTTACTTAAAACTCACCAGGATGGAATATATTCTCAACTCAGTTTCATTTCAGGAATCAAGCAAGTTTGGCTAAAAATTAATTCACAGGACTGGAAAGTGTGTATCTGTGTTTTGATTTCATTTCAATGTCTAATTTAAAAATACACCTTTTCTTAGGTATAACTGGTACAAAATAAACTTTGCTTATTGACTGGGTGCACTTTGGTAAGTTCTGATGTATGCACCTGTGATACCATCACCACAATTCACATAATGAGCATATCTATCACACCCCCGAATTTCCTCTTGAGCCTTTGGAATCTCTCCCTCCTTCCCCTCCTGAACCCACCTCCTCAGGTGGCCACGGATCTGCTTTCTACCCCTCTAGATTAATTTGCATTTTCTAGAATTTTAGTTACATGGAACCATACGTTACCTCCTCCTTTTTGTATGTGTCCTATAGCTCAATACAATTATTTTAAGATTCTTCCACATTGTATAAATCAGGAGTTGGTTCCTTTTGTTGTTGAGTAACATGTTGTTGTATAGATTTACCACACTTTGTTTATCATTCATTCACATTTTGATATTTAGGTTGTTCCCAAAGTTTGGCCCTTGCAGGTTGTGAGCATTCACTTTGTATGTTCCCGTACTTTCCTTTGCATAGATACACAGACATGGGATGTTCAGGCCATATGGAAGGTGTGTGCTTAACATTTCAAGAAACTGGATAATTGTATCCCAGAGTGGTTGCATAGTTTAACATGTTCAAAAAAGTATATGGGGATTTTGGTTGCCCTATAGCTCGCTAACACTGGGTATGGTCAATGGTGCTGATTCAGGAATGTGGTAGTATATCATTGTGGCTTTAGTGTGCATTTTCCCAATGGCTAATTAATTATGCTCAGCATTTTTTCATGTTGTCATTTGCTATCCATGTATATTCTTTGGTGAAATATCTTTTTAAATAATGCAAGATCACAGGACCTATGTTTTCTTATAAGAACTGTATGGTTTTAGTGCTTAATTTGAGATCTGTTATCTATTTTGAGTGAAGTTTTACACATTGTAAAAAAGGTGTCAAACTCCATCATTTGGGATATGAAAATCTGGTTTGGTTTACATCATTTATTGAATTAACTAATCTTTGTGCCATGGAAGACTTTATTGTGAATAATCTGTTTATATAAAAATAAACAGTGAATGTTTTGAAGTTAAAAAAAGAAATTTTTTAAATTTACCACCCATATTTTATAGTTTTGTTTTCTTAATGTATTTTGAGGAATCTCATGTTACAGATGAGATTCTTTGTCAGAAAATGTGTTTTGTAAATGTTTTGATCACAGGTTACATCCTGAACTTACCTTTTGATAACAGTGTGTTTAAAAAGCAATTGTTCTTAATTTTGACCAAGTACAATTTGCTAGTTTTTTAAAAATACATACAACTTTTGTTGTCATATCTTGCCTAACCCAAGTTTATAAGAATTACCTCTTATGTTTCTTAGAGGAATGTTAATAGTATTCATTTTTTTTTTATTTGGGCCTAGGATCCATTTTGAGTTCACCTTTTTGCATGAATTCAATATATTGAAAAGACTATCCTTTTCCCACTGAATCACCTTTACATCTTTGTTAAAAATCAATTGATTATATATATGTAGTTCTATTCTTGTACTTTATCGGATTCCATTGATTTACTTGTCAATCCTAATGCCAGTACCACACTCTCTTGATTACTGTAGCTCAATAATAAATTTTGAAATTTCAAGTAAGTCTTCCAACGTGATTCTTATATTTTAAAGTTGTTTTGGCTATTTTAGCTTTATGTTCTCCTATGGATTTGTGAATTAGTTTTTCCACTTGTACAAAAGTTTGCTAGAATTTTGATTAAGATTACATGGATTCTGAATATTAATTTGGATTAACATGAACAAGATTGAATCTTTCAATCCATGAACAAAGCATATTTCTCCATTTTAAAGACTTCTTTAACAGCATCATTTTGTAGTTTTCAGTAAACAGTTCTTCCACAACTTTTGTCAGGTTTATTCCTAAATATTTTAGGCTTTTAAACTATGATAGCATTACTTTAAAATTTTTGGTTTCTCATTATTTGTTGCTATTTTGCAGAACCATAGTTGATTTTTGTATTTCAATCTCATTTCCTGCAAACTTGCTTAAATCAGTCAGTTCTAATAGTTTTTTTTTGTTTTGTTTTCTGTTTTTATAGATTCTCTATCTGCTAAAAAAAGAAAAATTTTCTTCTCACCTTACCATATAAATATTTTTCATTTTTTTGACTTTCTGGTTGTTGGTTAGAGGTAGCAGGAGAAGACAGCCTTGTCCTGCTCCTGATGTCAGAGCAGTGTGTGGTCTTCCCTCGGTACATGTGACCTTAGCGGTAGGTTTCTCTCCTATGTTCTTTACCTGGTTGAAGAAAGCCTGTCCATTCTTCGTTTGCTGAGAGGCATTTTTTATTTGTTTGTTTTAAAAATAAGAAATCGATGTTGGATTTGATCAAATTCCTTTTCTGTGTCTTTGAGATCGTCCTGTGGTTTTGTTTGTGTTAGGTTGTTAATATTTGGGCTTAAGATTTTAATGTTAAAAATGGGATAAATCCCACTTCATCGTGGTGCTTCTCCCAATTCATATAATATTGGATTAAGTTTGTTAACTACTTTTAGAATTTTTCACCTGTGTTCATGGGGATCCTTGTTCTGTGTGTTTTTTTTTCTTTTTTCTGCTTCTTTCCTCCCTTCCTCTCTCTTTCCTCCCCATCTCTCTCCTCCCTTTCCCTCTCACTCTCTTCTTCCTTCCTCTTTCCTTCTCTCCCTCCCTCCCTCCCTTTCATGCCTTTTCCTGGTTTGGTTTCAGGGGCAATTAATTCTGGGCTCACAGAATGAGATGAGAAGCACGTTAAACCTTTTAATTTTCTGAACTGGTTTTGTATGACTGGGATTTTTAAAGTTAAAAAGTAGTTGCACAGTCAATTTAAATAACTGCTTTTTAGCACAAACTTTGACTTCTTCAGAGACGTCAGCATCTCTGTCCCATCGAGCTGCTTTGCTGTCCCCTTCTTGTCCCAGCTCGCTCAACTTTCAGAATGAGATGCTTTCCACGATTGGTTCTACAACCATATTAAAAGTTGTGTTTTTCTCAGAGCATGTTTTAAAGACTTCTTTACAGAAGAGGTCACGATTTATTATTTTGGTCCCTAGGGAGCTATTCTGATTGCCACTCTGCCCACAGGAAGGTGGGAGCCATGGAATCATGGAGCCATTGTAGTTCCATCTCCTTCCTGCTTCCCAGTCAGCAGCTGCTAACTCCTCAGCCTGCTGGGAACTCGGACTCCCACCAGTGCCTGGCATTCTCCTTTCTCTTCGCTGAGCACTAGTTCCTCGCCCTTGATTTATCCATCAATATTCTGCCATATGCATTAGGAGTCCCAGAGTCAGCACGGCCTGCAACCTATCAATGAACTCCCTCCCATCCTCCTTATTTTCACTGGTATTTTTCCTTTTCCCCTTAATTGCAGTCATTACAATAGG